CAACCTTTTCGTCAGCGGGCTGTTTCTGGTTTCATAAACAATTCGTATAAAAACAGCCATGGTTGTGGGGGAAGGGGTTGGTTTGGAAGGGATATGTCCCCCAATGCTGTGATGGTGGTGATAGGTAGGTCCAGGCCCCGTCAAGAAGGAGTGGTGTCGTAGAATTTTTGAAAGAGTGCGAACGCGACGTGACCCCGATCTCGAGATGATTTTCCGAAGACTTAAAGTCTGAGGGTGCTCTTCTCGTAACTAGCTGACCTTCTTAGGACAACTGCCCCACTGCGATGGAAAAATTTAAGCCATACGGTCATCACCTAGTAGAACCTACCCACTGAACCCGTGTATCTAAAATTTTGTGCATGTTAGGGGCCCTGTCCCTCGTGAAAACGATGGGCTCGATGGCGCGGTGACGTTCCATTGACGTAACACCACAACGACGGCATAAATCCTGAAGATTACATCCCCCTCCTTCTTGGGCAGATTGCTGGCGAGTGCAGCGGTGAGCGCCAGGCGACGAGATTGGTCCCGCCCCAGCACGGTTGGCAGTTGGCCAGAGAAAGGCGGGGCTCCCGTCGATTGCGACGCCGCAAATCGATCGACGGGCAGCATTTTGCAGAGGCGCGGCGGCGCGGCGAAAAGGCGAGGCGGCAAGGTGCTCCCACTCCTTCCTTCAAGCGGCGGTATCAGTACAAAGCAGCCGGTTCGAAGTGTATACGTATGCTCAAGAAAATAGCGCTAGGATAACCTAGCCTTCTTTCGAGCCCCTGCAGAGAGGGTTAATGGGTACGAATTCGCGCCGCAAGCGGCGAGTACTGCCGCGTGATATGCCTTGGATGTTAGATTTTCCCCAAGAATTAGGTCGACTGCATCTTAATTTCGCAATTTGCAGTCATTCCGTTGACAGGATACTTACGCGCTTTATTTGGAGAGCTCAAAATGTTTCCTAAACCAGAGATGGCCAAGAAGTGTGGCAAATACGTCATGCACTAAATATAACCCTATTTAGGTTCAAATCCTTCAAACAGTATACGTTCCGCTTATACTCGTGAGGAAAGCCCGTCCCAAACAGGGAAAACGAACAAGAAAGTCGGGGCATCGTTCCCCGCGAGGCAAGTGAGCCCCGGCGCCAACCCTGCGTCTCTGACGCATGCGCCTGTTTTTCTCTGCACTCTCGCGGCGCCAGC